AAAGACTATAGCTAATAGTCCTATAGTCCCAGGCCCTAGATCTTGAGGACGTTTGCTCTGGCTAGGCGTAGGATACTCGGGCTCCTCCACTCCCGTTGTCCGGGGCATCGGTTCCCTTCTCGTCTGCTTTGCCAGGGCCTCCTCAAGCCGCTGGATGGCCCTTCGTTGTGTGTTTGAGTCTTGGGAGCGTATCCATGCTCTCACCTCTTCGGGATACGTGGCGTCCTGGCACTGCCCATTCCCATTGTTCACACCACTGTTACACCCGCCCCACATGATGTGGCGGAGGGTGGCTAGTTCACGTTCGCACGCGCTACACTTAGCGTCTATAAACATGTCGGGGCATACGTGCCGGGCCAAAGCTGGCGTTAGCACGCATTCCGTTTGCAGTTGTCAGAGCTTCACTGCTTCCGCACGTGACAGTTCACGATGCGGGGGCGGAAAGGCTCTCCTTGCCTCTCTGTAGGCCGCCAGGATCCCTCTGTAGTCGGTGAGGGGATCGATGTCTTCTTCTCGTTCTTCACCGCTGGTTTCAGGAAGATGGGCTGCTGCGGTCCGGCACTGTGATGAGATCACGGGCCACAGCGTCCGCCTCCTCGTTGCGGTTCTCAATGTCGGGAGCCAGTTGTTCCATGTGGGCTGGGAACCATTTGAGGGCGATGGTTGGCCCTGTAGCGGCGCCGCGAGCAGCCCGCGAAGCCGCGATGGACGTCACTTAGCCGCTCCGTGCCCGCCAGACCATGCCTCGGGCGAAATTCCTGATTGCCTGCTTTGAGTCGCTTAGCACCGTGCGCGTGCCCGCCTACCTGTGGCCAGGGCTATCGCCGCCTCCTCTGTTTGGCCGGCTGTTCAGGGCCGCACGGACGCTTGCTGTTAGTAGTTACTGGTAGTAGCGCTGACCACCACTGCTGCGAAGGCGTTGCGTCTTCCCGGATATCTTGCGGGCGGCGTCCACGTAGACTGCGCCCTCGTCTCTCTGATGTTGACGGGCCAGCACCGCTGCTCTCGCCGCTCGCCTGCCCGCAGCCCTTTCTGGAGCAGCGGGTAGACAATGATTTTACTCGCTGCCTCATCGCTCAGGGGGACTTGTTCTTCTAGCTCCCCGTTCGGTCCTGCTCCCGGGCGTTCTCCGGGAGGTAATAATCCCACCCGATCGAGTAATCCTTTGCCCGCGGCTGTGTCGCTCAGGCGGCTCAGCTGCGAAGCTCTCTGGGCCTCGCTGATCTCCGAGAGCGTGTTGTGTGTTCCCAAAGACAGCAAGGCCGTTCTCTTTGTGCCTGGTAGGAGTCCAAGAGCCCCTGCGTAAGCCTTCCGGATGGCAGCGTCGATCTTGGCTCGTTCCGCGCCGGTCCAGCGGAGAAAGGCCCCGCATATGCCGCGTGGAAACCTAGAAGAAACAAACGTAACAATTGTAATTTCTGGCTTGTTTCGTGTTGAAATCGAAAACAAATAAATTTTACTCACATTGAGCGTCTGGGAAAGCGTCTGCTTGTGTGCAGATGGCCATTCTGGCGAGATTTGATCTATCTGAGCGATTCACTGAGCCGCCGTCTTGTTTAGACAACAAAGTAGCCTGCATCATATTTGTCTACGATGCGGTCTTCTCGGAGCTGTGTGCTTTGCCGGCTACGTGAGAATCTGAATGGGACTTAAGTTGGCTGCCGTCCATTTAGCTCTCTATTTAGCTGTCTATGTGACGTATTGGAACACAGCTCTTATCGCCGTGGTATCTGTGCATATCTTCGTTGCCAGCGGCATGAAAAATGTTGTATAAACGTTTACGATGGGAAATAACTGATGATTGAATAAAGCGATGCTTCCGCAATATTTCTGCCAAGGCAACGTCCATTTCTGAACTACCAAAGATATATCGAGCCGTGATGAAAAGTAATTGTTGTAGGTGAACAAACGCGGCCCCGGCCGTCTTCGGCGACCAGCTGCTTCGTTCCCACTTGGCTCTTCTAGATCGAGGCCGTCAACAAACTAGTACGGGTAAAGCATCATATATAAATGTAGAAGAAGCTTTATCGTGGTGCAAAAAGAAGCACTTGACATGACCTCACGTTGGAAAGGCGAGCGGCGCTACCGAGAACGTCGGCCTTGCCTAAGCCTAGCCTCGGATGTCTAGAAGCAACTGTAGGCTGTGGCGATGTTTCTCGCTCTCGAAGGTGTAGCTTTGTTAGCCATGTTATTAGATACGAACCATGACTGTGTGAAGTTGCTTATTTTCTAAGAAGATACGTCTCCGAAGTGTGCAAGCTGAGATTGCCGTACGTATGTGAGCCTCAGCTCTGATGGTCGTTCACCCCATGTGTCGTCAATCGTCGTGTGCCACTTGCAGCGTTGCACGGCAGATTGGCCGCTGATCGAACCACGTGTCCAGTGCTTAGTCCTGGCTACGTCACTCAAGTGCTCGTCGATAGCAGTGCCGCACGCACAACTTATCAAGGTTGCGAACAACGTTCGCTCTCACAAGCTGCCCAGCGAGTCACAGCGCGGAGCATTGCTTCAAACTATCAACCGCGATGTCCCCCGATAGAATGGGCATACAGAGTGAAGACTATAGTCGAGGTTTCCGCCAACGTAGGCTTGCCACGTGGTCTCGATACAAGTGCTTTTAGAGCGTAGGCTTCTTCGCCATCATCACCGCCGCCACTGCCTTGTTCTTGAGCTGACTCCGGTCAAGCAGACGACGCTGTAGTTCCGCAAAGTCGAATGGTGGTGGACGGCGCTGACACTATCTTGCTACGAACCATCGTTAATTGAGGCTCCAAAACATCGCTACGCCGCCATGTTCTGTCAACGACAAAGAGACTTTATGGTTGTCCTTAAAGTGAAGTCAACAGTACAATTGATGAAACGTGAGCTGAAAAACTGAAATGGCGCTTTTCATGTATCATTGAGCACAGGACATCAAATGAGTTTAGGTAAAGTACTGAATAGACTGCCAGGATACTGAAAACACACGTAGTTTAAATTTTTTAGAAGGTTTCACGACCTTTTGAAGGGTCAGTAAACAATCCCATTGCCTGAAAATTGTTTTCAAGGTGAATTATGTGCACTTTCACTAGTGAACATGCTGCTGCAAGAATTTTGCGAATAAGAGCTATATAAAGGGAAGGTACAGAGGCTAGAAGATCGCGTTCAGCTGGTTGCAAATTTTCGCGTGGTCTCGCAACCCTTCTCCTTCAGAGGTAGGGGAAGCCGTGCCCGTCGTCATGACTACGCCCACTTCGGCAATGGGACAAGACGTCAGCAAATAACGTCATCGGCGAACTCGATCAGTCTCAACACACATCCGCTTACTGCGATGCTGGTTGTTTACTACAACGTTACTAGGTACTTTCAGTTGTCAAACTCCGACGCCGCGCCTGATCCCTTTCTGTTACTCTCGCGGGGGGCACGTAGCGCTGTCGGCCTGAGGGTGAGTGGTGCGAGCAGCGCTGGTAGAGGCAACGGGCAGATGTGCCGAAACACGCGCTTTTTTTTTTTCTTTGCTCATTTTGGTTACCCATGCGCCAAAGTAACGTAAGCGTGCCTTGTGAGCAAAATTACGCCATCTCCCTCCGAAGGGCACCATGAGGCAATGCGGCACAGCAAGGGGTGCACACCGCGTTGCATTCATTAACACTAGTTATTTGGAGTGATCTTTCCTTTATTGTTGGGCGTTAGTGTCATCGTTCGTATTTTAGCGTTACTTAGTGGCGTCGGCACCGTCAAAGCCAGGGCGTTGAAGCGTCGCGGAGGCTCGACGCTGACGCCTGCTTCGACGTCGGCATTGCATACGGCGGGGTTTGCTTGCTGACGCTTTCCTTACGTTTCATCATGTCTAGCCCGCGTGTCATTTGAAGCAGCTTCCCGCCAACTTTGCCGTTAGCGCTGGGATTCCCTCAGACCGGAGCTCAGAGTCCGCTTGCCCACGTTTACGTCGCGCTTCGGTGCATCAAGCCTTTCGCTGCTCTGCGACCTCGCCAGGCATCTAATGAGTGGCCACCGCCTCTGGCACAGCCACTTACGCTGACCCAAATGCTCTAGCAAGTTCCAGCGCGTTCTTACTACAATACTACGTGTTGCTTCATTGCGCTTCTGCAGTGTGTTGTCCCCCGTATGCCATCATATGTTCGCTGAAAGAGTGTAACGGGTGAGGACCAGTGTCTCATCTAATCCCTTACACAGGGCGGCAATGCGCTAGAGCACGAGCGTGTTCTAGCAGTTGTTTGGGCGGCTGTGCACATGCGCTACAAGGGTGCACATGGACATCGGATTGATCCCCCTTTAAGATGCTTGGCATCTAATATGCCTAGGTATCTTGTGTCCAGCTGCAGGAGGGCGGCTGCCCCGCGGCGGCGGTCTAGTGGCTAAGGCACTCGGTTGCTGACTCGATACTCCGACACTTCCTGGTGTCTTCTACGTAGATGTCTCAGGCCCAACCTCCTCGTGACACTTTACGACCGCAGTGATATCTGAGGGTCACAACGTGACGGTATCTCTTTCCGCTCCCTGGTTGCAACTCGTGCTGAAGAGGTAGCCATCGTTTTGGCAGCCTCTCACCGCTCAGCAAGAGTGATCATCATGGACTCGCGCATCGACTGTTCCCTATACCTGCAAGGTACCATTGCTCTTCTAGCCACCGACCTTCTCCAGGCTGCCTCATGGCGCCTTGAACCTCACTCCATCCGCATAGTATCGTCTCCTGGCCACGCGGTTCTCCACGGTAACGAAGCGGCTCATGACCGCGCTTGCGTTTTCTCTCTCCCGGGCCGTTACGTCTTTCGACCCAGCGCCTCCCCCAGGCACTTTAGCTCTTACGCAGTACCGCGAAATCCTTGATTACTATCGCGCCGTCTTTACACAGAACTTGCATGGAGTCTATCCAAAGTGGACGAGCAATTTCTTAGACGCTTGCAGACGAACACCTTCTTGTGTCCTGCAGCCACCCAGCATTTCATGCTACTGTGCGCACTGTGGGGTGCTCGCCGACACGTACCACATAATTGCAGTATGCCCAGCTATACCTCTTCCATTTTCATCCCCCTTCCCCCTACCCACAAGAGAGGCTTCGGAGGAGTTCCTCCTCGGCTGCTCCACCCGGGACGCTCAGCGCTCCCTGCTGGCCCACGCCCGAGCAGCGATGACCTTCAGTGGACTTCTGGAATAAGCAGACCATCCAAGTGCATTTATAGTGGAGGCGAAAACGCTGTAGCCCCTGTGCTCAGATTTTGGTGCACGTTAAAGAACACCAGGACATAGAAATTTCCGGAGGTCTCCATCAGGTATTCCTCATAATCATATCATGGATTTAGGACGTTAAACACCACATATCAATCAACGCAGGAGCGACTGCGACTTACTAAAATCTTCGGGTGTGAAGGGGCACTTTTTCAGGCTGCTGAATACTGCTTCACGTCTTCGCGAATGACAGCGCGCCATTCTGAAGCTCGACAAAGAACATACCAGCTCTTCTGTCGTGTGTTACCCGCACTTCCAGTCAGAAGACCTCGTTAGAGACTTAATCCACAACGTCAGTGGTGAATTGGTCACCATACCACGTGATAAGTGTACTCTAAGAGAACACGTGATATCATGTCTCCTTCCAGTTGTCCAAAATATTTATCAACGTCCTCAAGGAAGCTCAGACCTCCCACTACGCAGCCAGTTCTTGACATTCAGCACTACAGAAAATGAAAAAAACAAAAAACTCCGTGCGTAATTAAAATGACAATGGTGAACGAGTGTACTTCACAAACAACGCGGTTGCCGTCAAAGGCTTCGCATCACTCTTTGACGAGATTTCTACCATCGCTAGAGCGAGCGAAAGAGTGCGGAGACATATTCTGAAAAGTTTTATAAGATCTAGAAGGGTGCTGCTTCCCTCTTTTTTGCTGCGCAGAACATATATTCACATTCATGCACTAAGTGAATTTTTTTTTGATTTTATGCAGATGAATTTTTACGCAAGGGCTACGAATCGCCGGCTAGAAAACAGTCACAAGGTAGCTGTAGCAAACAAGATAAGAAGCACTTGTACTGTGAATACTGCCAATCGCGCATTTATTTTTTTATGTCACAGGCTTGTTATACGCGTGTATTATATACCTCGTACGAAAAGCTTCAATGCCCTATTCATTATCCGATTAGCTGTTTTTGACAGTGAACAAAGTAACAAGGATATTCCTGGAACGCTTCGTGCTAATGAGAGGAACGCAACGAGAGATTGAGATAAAAAGAAGCTAAATTCGGTTGGCGGTGTGCTGCAACCTTGCAAAGTTTCAGTAGCAACCGGGCCGATTGTGGCGGCAGCGCCACTCCTTGAGAAGGAACGACAGAGGGCCACATTTTCTTGTCGCTCCTAGGTGCAGTTAGATGACTGACAGAATCTAGCATGGAGGAAGGAAAAATATTGGAGGGCATGCCCCGCCGGCGCGCTACATGGAAAGTGTGGAGGAAATGACATCATGCTGCGTATTGACTGGTCACAATGGCAGCGTTGCTATGATTACGTGCTGCGCAGTGGATCTGATCTAGCAGTGAGCGGCCGCGGCTTGCATTTGTGCCTCCTGTTGCGAAGCGTGCCTCCGACGACGTTACGATGGGCGCCACGAATCTCACCGCTGCAACCACTGTTTTGAAAGACAGCGACGCCAGCACCGCTGCTCTCGCCGCTCGCCTGCCCGCAGCCCTTTCTGGAGCAGCGGGTAGACAATGATTTTACTCGCTGCCTCATCGCTCAGGGGGACTTGTTCTTCTAGCTCCCCGTTCGGTCCTGCTCCCGGGCGTTCTCCGGGAGGTAATAATCCCACCCGATCGAGTAATCCTTTGCCCGCGGCTGTGTCGCTCAGGCGGCTCAGCTGCGAAGCTCTCTGGGCCTCGCTGATCTCCGAGAGCGTGTTGTGTGTTCCCAAAGACAGCAAGGCCGTTCTCTTTGTGCCTGGTAGGAGTCCAAGAGCCCCTGCGTAAGCCTTCCGGATGGCAGCGTCGATCTTGGCTCGTTCCGCGCCGGTCCAGCGGAGAAAGGCCCCGCATATGCCGCGTGGCTTATAACGAAAGCCTGCAGCAGATGCAGGAGCCCCCTCTCTTTACTGCCTCGGTAGCGGGACGACATTTGCTTGACCAGGCGCGCATCGATGCCCATCTTGGTTGTGATGTTCTTGACCGCCGTGGCGTTGGTTTGGGTGCCGTCCACGAACATCCCCAGGACTCGAAGCCCCGGGACGTGCGAGATCTGCATACCGTCACTGGTGCGCACGGTGATGTTCTCGGCCGCCTCTCGAGTTGCCTTCTTTCTGTGCCTCCCAGGTGGTGGCAGGATGAGTAGCTGTGATTTTTGTGGCGAACACCGCAAGCCCGTGCCCGAGAGTGCGGACTCCACGGCGTCCACCGCCGCCTGCAGACCCGCCTCGATGTCTCCGTCGCTTCCACCCGTGGCCCAGATGGTTACGTCGTCGGCGTAGAGGCAGTGTCGTATCCCCGGGCCCAGCGCCTCCAGACGCCTGGCCACCTCGATCATGACAATGTTAAACAAGAACGGGGAGATGACCGAGCCCTGTGGGGTCCCGACACTGGTCAGCTCTCGTTCTTCGAGCTTCGTTCCTCCCAACTCCAGCCTGGCCGTGCGGTGAGAAAGGAAGGCTCTGATGTAGTTGTACGATCTTGCACCTAGCCCCAGGCGGGACACCTGAGCCAGGACCGACGAGTGTCTAACGTTGTCGAAGGCGCTCTGCAGGCCCAGGCCCAAGATCGCTCGGTTGTCATTGTTTGGAGTCCCGCCCGATGGGTCAAGGACTTCTCGTTGGATCAGGAGCATGGCGTCTTGCGTTCCCAATTTGGCCCGGAAGTCAAGCATTGAGTCCGGGTAGACATGGAGCACTTCCATGTAACGGTTCCACCGGGTGTTAAGAACGTGCTTCAGAACCTTGCCCACGCAGGACGTGAGCGAAATGGGACGCAGGCCCTCTATACCCAGTGGCTTGTTTGGTTTCGGCAGCAGGATCGTCTTTGCTCTCTTCCAGGCCTTGGGCAGCTTGCCGTTACGCCAGCATTCGTTGTAGTAGCGTGTCAGTGATGTGATGGCTGAGTCACTTAGGTTGCGTAGAGCTTTGTAAGAAACTCTGTCGGGTCCGGCGGCCGAAGAACAGTTCAGGTCCTGCGCCGCCTGCCTCACTTACCATTCCTCTAGATCTCGGTCGAGGTGGAGGTTCGGCTGGCCGGCATAGTCTGGGTGGTCTTCGTGACTTGTGATGGGGAAGTAGCGCTCGTTGAGTCGCTCGAACATCTCCTCTTCGCCCAGTTGACGAGCGGTGGTGTGTAGGATTTGGGCCTTGCGTGTACGTTGGTATTCGCCGCTCTTGGTCTCATCCATCAGTTGCCTGAGGAGTTTCCAAGTGCCGCCACGGTGAAGCTGTCCATCAGCCTGGCTGCAGAGTGCAAACCACTACTGTGAGCAGAGCTGCCTGCTATGTCGCTCGATCTCTCGGCTGAGTTCTGCGATCTTCTTTCGTAGCTTTCTGTTGTGACATTGCCGCCGCCAACGCTTTTGGAGCGAGCGCGTGGCTTCGAGGAGGTGGGCTAGTCTCGGGTCCTGCTCGAAGACTGCCGCGCCATTGAGCTGTATGTTCTCGGAGCCTCCGTGCTGTGGCCAGACACCGCGGACCCTGAAGGCCCTTCTCACCTGTTCCTTCCCGTCTGTCGCCTTCTTCGCTATCCACGCCTTCCGCCCTTCTCTTTCTTTTTGAAGGTCACCATGCATTTGCTCTAATAGGCTGGCGGTAGCCTACTCCTGCTCACGCGACGCTCCGAGCAGTTTTTAGAGTTCTATTCTTTGCTCCGTTCCACCTTAAGCTCCCCCGATGCCCCTCGATGCTAGCATTCATGCGCTGCACGGCCGCCTTTAGTGCCTCGCACAGCCTGCACACGAAGCTTGCCTTCTGTGCGTCGGC